AATATAAATATATCATTTATAAAAATAATCATAAACTTTAATTCATAACACTTTCAATATTATTATAAAATTGATTAATTTTGTTTCTTAAAAATGTTCATTTCTAACTGCAGTTGAACTATATACATTATGTCTGTTAAATCAAAGTTTGGTCATCATACATACATCAGCCATCTATACGAGAACAAATAAAACACATTTTAAATGAAAATCCGTTGAATCTAATTTAACAATAAAATTAAAGATAATTTCAAACATTTATATAATACATGATAATAATACAAAATTTAAATTTTTAACTTCCTATTAAAAAAATAATCTATTAAAAAACGATTTTGATTAAAAATAATTGTAATTAATTATAATTACGAAAATCACCCCTGTGTATAGAGGCACAAATTTGAGAGAACGGCAGTGCGTAACAGGCTTTAAACTACACTAGTTCGGAGGTTTTCGCGCGATAAACAGCGAAGCGCCATGATTGGTCGGCGTAGAAATTTGATTCCGTTTCATTCTTTCCTTTTCTTTCTCTCTGTCTCTCTTCTGGTTCGCGTCCACCGGCCGGCGTTAAAGAAAGACCGAGTAACGTTTCCCCAGGGAAGTCGTAAACGACGTCCAGAGAGACTCGAACCGAGCAGTTCCGAACAGTCTGTCAGAGACGGTGCTTTCGCGAACACGATTCTCGTGCGTCGCTTCGTAAACGTGTGTGTACCGGTTCAAAAAAAGTTGTTACACACAGCTTCTACTAGACCCCTGGCAACGCGTTGTCGCTTGAAAACAATGACTGTACGTTCCAGTGGTTAGAAGTAACGAAGAAATTACTGGCACATAGCATTCAAACCGTCTTTTTTTTTTGATCGAGGCCAGACGGCCACACTAGCTCTAGGAACGGCTCGACGCGTATCGATCTCATACAAGGGTATGTAAACATTTCGATTTTTCTTTTCTGATCGATCGTTGCTCATCAGGTGAAAGGTTTTCTTTAATCCAGAAGATTCGATCAATATTTCGAGAGTAATAACTTTGTGCTTAACTTTTATATACTATTAAAATATGCTGTTTTGTTGCATTTGATTATACATATTAGTGATTAATCGCCATTTTAGTTTTTATCATTTGATACTCGATCTGTTGACAATGCTTGCAATTCCGGTAATATAATTACTTATGAATTATCACTCAATAGTATTATAATTCTTATCTTAATTATGTTTTACCATAATTACAGTAATTTATAACTACTATAACTATTAATAATACAATTGATAATGCATTGATTAATATTTGATGTTGGATTATCGCGTTGGATTATATTTGATTTTATTGGTTACAGATATGTTACTAAAATAATATACATCATTATATCATTTTTTGTGAAAAGAACCGTTATAGCATTCATGTTACAAAACATATTCTTTACAAAAGTTTACATTAAAAAACATCAAAACGAAATCTTTTGCTTATTTTTCAAACTTTGAAACGTGACATGCGCTGACGTTCAACATTGTTACATATAGTATATTGTATGCACATGTGCACAACTATAGTTATATTTTTCTTTTTTTCTATGTAAATATATGTACACGTAAAATTAATTTCAATAAAACTATGTTCATTGTACAATACATTGAAATATATGTATGTAACACATGTATGTAACTAAAATGTATATGCAGAATAGTTGAGTTAATATATTCTTGACAAAGCCAGTTGAACTGGATTTACATATTTTAGAATAGACCGTTGGACGGACTGACATTTCAAATTTTAGAATTCTATAGATTGTATGTATGCATTCGCTTATTATTTTTTTATTCAGTTAACTACATATAACCTAAGTTGTGGATAAGTTAACCTAACAGTAAAAATTATGCTGACTAAATATGAATATATTTAAATATATATATATATATATATATATATATA